TAACAAAGACACTGACAACAGCTCTGCTCTGGGACGTCTCAGTTACAGGACCTTAACACAACAACCTGTGTAGAGCCCCATTGGGAGTAAACCTCAGATAAATCCATCATACTCTTCATAAAAGTTTCACACAGAGAAAGCTCATAAGTTTGTTCCCTTTTATCAATGAAATAGAGATGCATAGCTGTTGTTCTCTCCAAATAACAATTATTTACACTGTGTTCATTAATAAGTAAAAAGTGATTTTATTAAATATAAAAACTAGAAATTTAAGTGGCTGCCAAATCTGAAATTGAACAGGGGTAAGATTGAGCCCAGGCTAGGAGGTTGCCTAGTTTATGGGAAAAGAATTAAATCTACTGTTAGGATAAAGAATTGCATGTAACAGGTTTAATTCTTTTCCCATAAACCTAGGCAGCCTTGTAGCTTAGGCTTGATCTTTCCTCTGTTCAACTTCAGATTTTTCCAGTAGTCATCTTGGTGTAAGCAGGAGATGTGTTCCAATTACCAACTCCTTTATTGTTTGGTTCTCTGGATTTTGTCTAAAGTGGGAACCCTTTGCATTGAATTTCAACCCTTTCACACACACATGGAAAAATACTACATTCAGAATGGCTTCCAGCATCAGGTGACCTAACTACACATCTTGACAGGACCAACCATAGTACAGACTTACAGGAAAAAGATGATTTACAGATCATTGCCCTGGGCCGTTAATTTTCTTAAGTACCACTAATGGCTTTCACTAGAAGACCTAGATTAGTAAACAGGTATACGCTTTCTATATCTAACATCCCATACAAGAATGTTACATGCCCACAAATCGAATACACATTAAGTGGATTACAAGCTTTTCAGTGAGAGGTTGCATGCCACATTTTACATAAAGCATATGTGAGTTATGTAAATTCATATTATAAAACACATTTCCATAAAAAATGGAGGCTCAGCGTCACAGCTATACCAGCAAAAATGTTCTAGGGTAGTAAAGGCCCTGTGATCTTAGACCAAATCAGTTACATTAAATGTACTTTTCTACTCAGAGCTGTTAATCTAGTCTGCAAAGCTTTCTTACCCCTCTTTCAGGGGAAGACTAGGCAAACTACTACCAAGATCCCAATAGAGACAATATGATGGTAATGCATTATGTAAATCATAGGCCTGGAAAAGACCTCAGAAGGTCATCAAGTCCAGCCCTCTGCCCCAACCAGGATCAATTTCAGCTAAATTCAACAAGGACAAATGTAGAGTCCTGCACTTGGGACGGAAGAATCCCAAGCATAGTTACAAGCTGGGGACCAACCAGCTAAGTAGTAGTTCTGCAGAAAAGGATCTGGGGGTTACAGTGGATGAGAAGCTGGATATGAGTCAGCAGTGTGCCCTTGTAGCCAAGAAGGCTAATGGCATATTAGGTTGCATTAAGAGGAGCATTGCCAGCAGATCCAGAGATGTCATTATTCCCCTTTATTCGGCTTTGGTAAGGCCACATCTGGAGTATTGTGTCCAGTTCTGGGCCCCCACTACAAAAAAGATGCGGACGCATTGGAGAGGGTCCAGCGGAGGGCAACCAAAATGATTAGGGGGCTGGAGCATATGACCTACGAGGAGAGGCTGAGGGAGTTGGGTCTGTTTAGTCTGCAGAAGCGAAGAGTGAGGGGGGATTTGATAGCAGCCTTCAACTTCCTTAAGGGAGGTTCCAAAGAGGATGGAGAAAGGCTGTTCTCAGTAGTGACAGATGGCAGAACAAGGAGCAATGGTCTCAAGGTGTGGTGGGAGAGGTCCAGGTTGGATATTAGGAAAAACTATTTCACTAGGAGGGTGGTGAAGCACTGGAATGGGTTACCTAGGGAAGTAGTGGAGTCTCCATCCCTAGAGGTGTTTAAGTCTCGGCTTGACAAATCCCTGGCCGGGTTGATTTAGTTGGAATTGGTCCTGCCTAGAGCAGGGGGCTGGACTTGATGACCTCCTGAGGTCTCTTCCAGTTCTATGATTCTATGATTCTATGAAAATCAACTCTAGGGACAAAATAGCAGTTCAGATTCCACATCCATGTAGTGCCTCTGCTAAGACTATGAACCAAATTACTATAATGGTATGAATACTTACCTGTCTCAAGCAAAGAGCTTGTTACATGAGCTCTCCTCCTCCTCTAGGTTAAACCAACTTATATCTGCGAACCTGAAAAGCAAAATGGCAACTGCGTGTCAGCCAGCCTGCATATCTGTGAAATGATTTAACCTGACACAGAGCCAAGATTCAAGCCTTTCCCTCACACAAACAATTGCAAGTGTTTTCTGATTATCTATAGCCACGCTGTGTAATATCAACCACTAGTTTAAAGTCCTCTTTTACGGACGAATATTTCAGCTACCAAGTCACAGCAGGTGGGATTTTCAAAAAACGCAAAAGTAATTTGAGAGCTCAAGACCCACTGAGCAGCCCTTGTGAAATAGTTTTTCCTAATATCCAACCTAGACCTCCCCCACTGTAAGTTGAGACCATTGCTCCTTGTTCTACCATCTGGGACTACTGAGAACATCCTCTTTCCATCCGACCGGGATACCAGGGGTGTCCAAACTTTTTTCAAAGAGGGCCAGATTTGATGAAGTGAACATGCGTGAGGGCCGACCATTTTGCCTGACATTCTTTGAACCATTAAAATTAAATGCAAATTAACTATTTTATGCAAAGTTTATTGCAAACGGCATACTTTTCATTTCGTCACATGGATGACAAATCTAAACAGGTGTTAAATCACTCTGCCTTTCATATCTGAAGGCCAGATGAAAAAAAAATCCAGGAAGCTGAAATATATGTCAGGAACATTGTAAAGTACATTACATATTATTGGTAATAAAGGTTGTCTGTCAACTTTTAAGTTCAAAAAATATGAACAGGAACATAACACCAAGTATACATGTTGTGTCCAAATATATTTATAACTGATTTAGACCAACTGACATTAACTGAGATTTTACAGTGTTTTCATCTCAATACATATGGATTTGTTGGGGGCCATAAAAGATAGATATTGCCAAATTACCTGTGGGGCCGTATTAAACCGGAACACGGGCCGTAATTGGCCCGCGGGCCGGACTTTGGACGTGCCTGTTTTAGATAAAGTATTCCACAACTCAGGGTGATTGTGGTGGTGGAGGGAAGTCTCTTAACCGCAGCATTTCTGAGTCAGTGGGAAAAGGAGCATGTATGTACTACCCACAATCGACTAATTTCCACAGTGCTCAGGAATGTGTCATGGTACAAGGCACAGATAATGCAATATCCTATTGGGCACATCAGTTTTATTTCTGACATGCTGACCCGTTCAATACAGCTACTTCTTCCACTTGAAAATCTTCTACACATCATTTCAAAGAATCATGGTTTTGTGCATCTAGAACTCATCTTCTTAGAACTGACGTTATTGAGATTAATTTTTGATAAAAGGCATTTGATGGCCGTTTCAGATTTTGATTCAGAGGAGAAAGGCCTTTACCAAGCCTAACCTATACAGCTAAGTGTTTTTCACTGTAGTCCATTCAGAGGTATACTCACCTCTTACTGTCTTTAATGTCCCTAAAATACTCAGGATTCCCAACAGTTCTATTAGAGTGCATTTGACAGCTGTTTCTTTGCATCATCCACAGACTGAGGAGCATTCTGTTTTTGCCTGCACCACTCTATCCATATTTCTTAACAAGACTGACTTATAGTTAGAATCTTTCTAATTTGGGATTTTAATGTGCTGCTGCTGTTTTTAAAGGAAACTTCTTTTGAATCTTTCATTGTATTTGCTATAATCTCTGTAAATTACGTTTTTAGTAGCTGTCACTTCAGCTCACAGTGAATAAAATGCAGGCTTTGGTGGTGGCCTCCCATGTGCTGTGTTCCATAACTGTGATACTGAGGCTGTACCTGTAGTTTTTACGCAAGTTTCAGTTTATCATTTAAGTCAATTTATACACTCCAGTATTTTTCCCAAGCCTCCTGTATCTCCCACAGACTATTTTTTATACACATAAATATGAGGACAAGACTCTAATTACATTATTAAGAATAGTCTGAGGAATAGCAGTGTTAGTCTGTAAATTTAAAGAAACAAGCTGTCCTGTGGCACCTTACAGAGTAACAAATTTAATAGGTCATGAACTTTTGTGAGTAAAACCCACTTCCTTAGATGAGTTGGAGTCATAATGATTAGTCTGTAACTTTAAAAACAAACCACTCATCTAATGAAGTGGGTTTTACCCACAAAAGCTCATGATCTAATACATTTGTTAGTTTACAAGGTGCCACAGGATTGCTCATTATTCATAAACCGTCATTCTGAAACTTATGCAGGCTTGATGTAGGTTTTGGTTATAAATTCAAAAAATCGGTCTGTTGCGATCTAGGCACTCTCAAAATGGGTTTTGGATTGTATTAAGGTTTCTTGCATATTAAGCAAATTAATTCTCCCTTTTCAAGCTAGGGCATTTGCTCCTATGGCTCATTTTAAAAGGAATCTCTATTTCTGAGAAGTAGACCAGTTACTTGGAGTTTTGTGCCGACATTTAGCAATCACTACTCTGTAGTTTTTTTAAGATAGGAGTCACCCAACTCGTTAGCTTTTTGGTATACCTGTGGGCAAATGCTTACTGTAAGTTAAGTAATTTCTGCATGTGGAGTGATTTAGTGGAGCTTTTGTACTTAAAGATATGTGACTCACCTTCCTTCCCCACTTGTCATTGTCACCTGAATGCCTGTATTGATGAAGGAAATGAGTAGCGTTTGAGAATGTTCAGTGCTTCGTGCTCTTGTGATTTAAAAAAAAAAAGGGTCTTGTGCATAAGAGGTGTGTATATACTATAATAAGATTCAAATGGACATAATCATCTCAGACTCTAGTTGCTATAAGGAATGTGACTTCATACATCACATGGCACATTATACATGGAGTAAACCTGTTAAACTGTGAAATGTCATAACTATTGCAGTGATTCTTTTTATCTGCATTTTAGGTAATATTCAGGTATCTTGGATTGATGATACATCAGCATTTGTGTCACTTAGCCAGCCAGAGCAAGTACAAATAGGTAAGTGTTATTGGATTCACCTCATTGTAAGATTCACATGTTGGCAGAATAAATGGACATAAAAATGATTGCTTTTTTCTAAAATTCTTCAGTCCATAATTTCCTTCTGCCTGGCAAAGTAGGAATTTAATTTGCCACTGTGTTTCTCTTAATAAGCTGCTGTCACTTTGTATCAATTATTTCTTTTTGTGTGTGAGTATCATAGCTATCTCAGCAATGCAACAGATATGGGATTTCTTTTGAGCTATTAGAACCAGTTGAGATAAACAGGAATTCAGAACTTATTTGTTCTCCTGTCCAGTTTGTTTCCTGAGTATTATATAAAAGCTAGCTGAGTGGGTAGGCTCCAAGGGGCAAAGCACTATGAAGCCATGCAGTATTATGCGGAGGAGGACCAGACCATTGTAGCTCTAGCACGTGTTGGGTTTATGGCCTTTACTGTTGTTAGCTGAGTAATTCTTATAGTAAAACCTCCAGTCTTTCCTATCCACGTGACTACATGCATATATTCATGGCTTTCTATTTCTTTTCTTTCTGTTCTCTTCCTCACTAAGCCTATCTACTAGTAGTCTCTATAGTAGAGGTGGACAATAATTTTTTGCCAGGGCTGCTTTGGAAATTTTTCAAATAGCTCCAGGCCGCACAGGAAGGGGCAAGGCATCAAGCAGAAGGGGTGGGGCAAAGATACTTTTGGGTTCCTCTCCCCCAGACAATGATTGGTCTGGGCATGTGGCAGTGCCTTTGCTCCCCCACATTCTCCCTAGGTGCCCATGCCCCTGGCGTGGGAGGAGACTTCCTGTGCTCCCCTGCCCCAGGCTAATTAGGGCCTGGGGGTGGGGGAGCATGCGAAGCCTCTTCCACTCTGCCCCTGCCCTGCAAGCAGCACACGGTGCTTAAAGGCGCCACGTGCTCCTGGCAGGACGGGGGGAGGCTTCGTGCGTGCTCCCTAGCCCAATTAGGGCCTGGCGATGGGGGAGCGGCAGGGCCTTGTGGGCCGGATCCATCCGCTAGGCGGGCTGCATCTCGCCTGCGGAGGCTCTTTTGCCCACCCCTGGTCTAGGTGCTTGCACTAATGACACTGCTTTCCTATCTTTGCCACAACTTCACCCTCCCTTTCCAGGCAGCTTTGTGTCAGGGCACTGGACAGCTTGAAAACACACCTGCGACCAGCCATACAGCTCCATATTATATAACAGTCTGGTTATTGTACAAGGTCCCAACAAGGGAGAGAGTGAACTCACTGGCAATAACAGTAGAACTGGGTTGTAGGGTCTTGACAAAATAAATCCCATCAGGGAGGTGACCAGTGGACCTACACTGATCTCTTCCTCACCAGTCTTCCTAATGCCATAGGGACTCTTGCGTTGTCTTAAATCTTCAGCTGTCTTTGTTCTATGCCATAAGCCACTTACTACCCCCCCACCCCCACCCCCACACTTTTCTATCCCATCAGCTTCTCTTCTAGGCTAAGAGATTCTCTGATTAATGGGTTTTCTGATGCATCTGTCCTATAATCTTGTTAGTTCTTTATGCTGCCACAGAACCAAATGTGTGTCCTGGCAGCAGTTTGCTAAGAACCTTTAGCTCAGTGAACATCAGCCTACTTGGTAAGGAGGGACATGTTCAAACAGAACCGAGGTCTGTCATGGCAGTCCCATGTCACATACACTCCCTGCTCAACCTAGAAAGAGTTTAAAAAAAAAAAAAAAAAAAACACCTCAACAACCACTACCAAGCAGCCCGCAAGAAACATGGGGCTATCCCTTCAGGAAACGGGAAGGTCCCTGGGTATAGTGGTTCCCCGGTCTGCGGAGTGTATCAAGCAATGGGGCTTGATCAAGCCTGTGCTCAGTATAAGACTTTGCACTAGAGGACCTAAGGTCTTTTGCATCTGGTTTGTGAATACTTAGCACCCCAGCAACGTCCCGAGTGGAAGAGGCTGCACATATACAGGGTGGGACATCGTCGGTCTTACTCCTTGTCCAGCTTTACATATTTACCCCCGCACCAGACACAAAGGTGCCCCACAAATGCCCCATGCCCCAGGGTGACTCATTCTCTGGGGAGCCCCTGTGTGGGGCAAGGGGGGCAGCAGCACTGGAGGCGTGGCGGTTCTTATGAATCAGGACAACCAGGGCAGAGAATCACTCTGTAGCCAGATGTGCAAGTTTGCATCTGTTGCCGTGCAGAGCTCTGTGGTCCAGCCCTCCCTACATGCAAAGCCTGTGTGCAGCTGGGCCCCTTTCTCCATGCTGGCGATCTGTCTGGCCAGGACCCTCCTCCCCGGGCTCGTCCTCTCCCAGGGCAGTGCAGCCTGGTACCAGAGGGAAGCAGGAGAAGGACCCCGGGGTAAAAGCCTCCCCCATCCTGCCAGCAGCAGGTAGTGCTTTTAAGTGTCGTCTGCTACTTGCAGAGTGGGGGCAGAGCGGAGGAGGCTTCCTGTGCTCCCCTGCCCCCAGGCTATTTAGGGATGAGAAACATTTTTGTGTGAGACTGTACATAAGGTGGGGATTAATTACTGTTTACATCTTTAATGTAATGTTAAAGAACAATATCAGCTTCATTGGGCTGATTGTTAAATCTGATCTTCCTTAATTTTATTACAGTACTTCTTACTTTTTTTAAACTATAGAAACTTTAGTTATCTTAAATATCAGAAGTTAGAATTTACATAACCTGGAATTCTTAGAACTTTTGTATTTCTCATTTTGATTGATTGGATTTAGTCACTTTTAAAACTTGAACATGGGTAATTATAAAAAACTAGTATCGGAGGTAATGGTCAAGATGGTTACCTTATTTTCTCTGTTGAGTCACAAAGCTAAGAATTTCACACTTTTTGTGAACTGTAGTTGTGGTGGAATGAACCTGCAACAGTTCTTGGTCTAAATGCACACTGGGTAGATTTTTAATATTTTAAGATTATTAGCTAGTTAGTTGTATTTATTTTAGTATTTCTTGCTTTGTATGGCTATCATACATGATCATCACTTTCTTAAGGCTTTTATATTGGAGAGGAAAATAGATAATTAATTTAAATGTATTTCATCAATTAATATTTGTAACTGATGAGTTCTTACTCAGAGCATTAACATCTTAATATAACCATTATTAAATACTTTAATAATATCAGAGCTCTAATACTGTGATATAGAATGGTTGTCAAACTTCAGATTTTTAGATTGATTTTTAGAACTTATTTAACTTTAAAATTAAAGTTCTCAAAAGTGTTTAAATGTCTTGTGAAAAATTAAGTGTGACACATTTTTGTGTTGATACATAACTTGAATTCACTCTACAGTGAAATGCGCTGATCAAGTTGAAAAATACTTTAGAGAGAGTTCAGTTATGTACAAGAATGTGATTGTCATATGTGTGGTGGCTGGGAAGGACGTAATAACTTGCAGAATTGTAGAATTTTAGTGTATTTTGCCACTTCCTAGTTCAAGAAGTGTGCACTACTTAGTGGCAGATTACAACATAAACTGTGGCATTAATACATTAGCTGCTCAGTGTATTTTGTGCCGTCGTATTCAAGGGAAAGTAGCTAGTATTTGATTTACTGACTTGCTCAATCTTATTTACAGTTGATCCTATTTTTATTAATTGGTGCAAAATCTAAGCTGTTATTTTAAAAGTAGATTTGCATGAAGTGAAGCACTTTCAAAAGAATAAAAAATGAAATTTATTCTCAAAATTGAAGTATTGTCCGTAGCCTCAGGAAGACATCTTGAGTAATTGCCCAGAAGTGTAAATCTGCCCCACTCACTTAAATCAGTCTCAATGTCAATATTAATAATTTAATTGCTTGTGATCTTCATGTAAAAATACATCTTATGTGCTGCTTATTACTGTGGATGACTAATTCCTCTCGGGCATTGCTGGGTTGGAAAAGTAAGAGTTATAACTCCAAAATTTAGGTCTCTTCCATTACTACCAGGAAGGGCTGGGAGAAGTTCATCCACTTCCAGGAGGACACACCTTGAACATGTTTACTCTTCATTGGTAGGTGAAGGCTCTAAATAGCTCTTAATCAGTTTCAGAATTCACTTACCCCAATATATTGAGTACAGTTATGTATTGCCAATATATAATTCTATGCCATATTAAAAACTGAAGATTTTGTTCTTGCGTAAAATGGAGATATAGTCCAACAGCCTCATTTCAGAATAACACTGGGAATACTGTGGATATCTAGTTAAGTAAAAAACCTGAATATGCTACAAATTAAGGAAATGTCAGTTTTCACTGGTCTCGTTATGATAGCGTGTGCACGCACAAAAGCGGCAGACATCTTTATTTAAATCCCGCGGGGGATATTTAAATCCCCCGCGGATTTCCCTATTCTGAAGTTGAAAATTAGCATGCCCCTTTTGGAAAAGGGGCCAGTGTAGACGTAGCCAATCAGTACTACAGGCAGCATTGGTGAGCAACACAATCTGTAACAGATTTTAAAGAAGAGTCTGGTTAGTATTTTAAACTCTAGGATTGTAATTGGCTCTTAACAAGTGGACCTTTGCTGCTTTGGATCTTCACTGAAGACTACAAATTAAGTTGCAGGAATGAGCTCTTAGAGAAGATTAAACTAAAGGTTTTTTCTAATTTTTCAAGTCTTCACATTCTAATACATTTAGATTATTTAAAATTAATTTCAGGTGTCTATTTACTATTGATAGACTAATACAAAGACAAACTTAATTAACAAGTGCTTTAAAAAGATTTTTCTTAATGTGAAATTTTCTTTCATCTTTGTGCTGTTTCTGTCACTTGTAAGTCTGTTAACTGTAGATTTGAGGGTGTCAGATGAACTGAAAGCTTATTTATCTTCATGCTGGGAGTGTTTTAGCTTCAGGTGCAGCAGTCTAATACACAATAAAATCCACTGTAAAAATGTGAAGCAAAAACGCTTTTGTATCTGTGAAGCCAGTTGATCTATAAACTACTGATACGTTTCTGAAAGAAATGTAGTGCAAAGTAAAAAAATACTTGATCAGTGGGAG